AAAAAGAATAAACATATCCTTGGGCGAGGATTAAAAGAGAGAGAGACAGAGAGAGAGAGAGAGAGAGAGAGAGAGAGAGAGGAAGAAAGAGAGAGAAGAGATGCCCTAACTCAGGCCAAACTGTTCCCAACGACCCACCCAGTTTCCAATAATTTCACCTCTAATACCAAGGGCTACATGAGCATGTTAGTCGGGGAGCCCAACACCCAGGCTATAGTGTCTCTTAATGAAAAAAAAGGTAAATGGAACCTTCAAGGAGTCTCTACAGCAGCACCTTCCAAAAGAACTTTCTGTGATGATGGGCATCTTCTATAGTCTATGGATTATGTTGAGTACCTGAAATGTGGCTGGTGCAAATGAGGAATTAATTTAATTTTATTTAATTTTAATTTAATTTTAATTTAAATAACCACATATGGCCAGTGGCTACCATATTGGACAGTTATAACGCAATGCTATCCAACAGAAATACAATGTGAGACACAAGTAAGTTTGAATATTCTAGTAACCACATAAAAAAGAAGTTTTTTAAAAAGTGAAATTTTAATACATATTATTTAAATCAATATACCCAAAATATTATCATTTCAACATGTAATCAATATGAAAATAATTATCAAAGTATTCTACACTGTATTTTTGTACTATGCCTTCAAAATCCCATGTGTATATTATACTTTCAACACATCTCAATTTGGGTCAGCCAACATTTCAAGTGTCCAATAGTCATATGGACAGAACAACTCAAGAAAATGTTAAAGCCCCTTTCTACACCAGTTCTCCCTTCCCCTTTCTCCCTAAATCCAAGAGTCACAGTAACAAGAGCTCTTCCTGTCCTTGCTCCTTAACATTACACTAGCACACCACACTGAGGAAGTTATACCTCATTTGAAAATATCTCACCCAAAACTTCCATAAATTCCACTAAGTAGATTAATTTAGCTTAATACATACATGGGGGCTGCAGGAAAGGCCACAGTCATTCACGTAATAGTGTGGATTACAGGGCCCTGTCACGTGAGAGAACAGTCCTCATCGAGCAAGAGGATGAAATTCTCACTAATGAACTCATAAAAAGGCTTCTGAAAGGATTAAAAGCAAAACAACAACAACAATTCAAGCCTTTATAGTAACACTTGGAAGAAATAACCAAATCTACAATAATAAAAGCATAATATGCTAATTAGACCAGACGTTCTTCCAGACAAAGCAGGGGCTGCGAGGGTAGCCCGGGTCCCAGGTGCCAGAGGGAAGTTGGTGATGGCAGCTGGGGGAAGGAAGGCCTACTCTTGCACAAATTTTGTGCATCAAGCCTCTAGTAAAATAATAATTGTTTTAAAACAGAACTTCCAAAATGAAGGAATGGCAAACCATTGAGCAATAGTTTATTTTCTGTGGTGGCAAAACCAGTCTTTATGCTGTCACTGTGCTATTCCTCTCAGCTCTCTGAGTGGGAGTGGAGGGGGACTGAAGTCACCTCAAGATCAAGGAATAGTCAAGCAAGAGAGGCAGTGCTGCTTGGTGCCTCGGGAAGAAAAGAATAGGAAAGCCCGGCCAGTGTGGCTCAGTGGTTGAGTGTCAACCTATGAGCCAGGAGGTCACGGTTTTATTCCTGATCAGGGCATATGCTTGGGTTGTGGGCTTGATCCCCAGTGTGGGCGTGCAGGAGGCAGCTGATCAATGATTCTCATCATTGATGTTTCTTTTTCTCTCTTCCTCTCCCTTCCTCTCTGAAATCAATAAAAATATATTTTAAAAAAAGAAAAAAGGGTAGGTTCCCCAAGGAAAGTTAGTGTAGATTTCATTAAAAGGCAAACATAGTCCTGGCTGGTGTGTCTTGGTTGGATTGTCAACCCATGGGACCAAAGGATCATGGGTTCAATTCCCAGCTAGGGCTTATACCCAGAGGTTGCGGGTTCAATCCCCAGTTGGGGTGCACACAGGAGGGAGGCAATAGATCAATGTTTCTCTCTCACATCAATATTTCTCTCTCTTCTCTCTCCATCTCCTTTCCCCTCTCTATCTCTAAAAAAAGGGGGGTGGACAGATATAACCTTCAGAGAAGATAAGGCAGCAAGAGACACATCTACCATATGAGAGCATGTAAAACCAAGAACTGGTGATAAAGGGAAATATAGAGGAAAAACACAGAGTATTGAAGAAACGGGCATCAAAATAATAATACTTAATATCTGCCTACAACCAAGGTCCTTGAAATTCAACATGTATCTCATTTGAGCATGACAACAACCTGTTAGGTAAAAAAGATGTAATTTAACTCAAGTTCACAAATGAAGATACTCAAAGAAGTTAAGCAAGCAGTTCAAGTGAGTTCCCCAAGGCTCATGAAGAAACGAGTCAATTACTTTTTCATTCTGAATAAACTTGTATGTGTATGTAATATCAATTGCGGTAATGAACATAAAAGCAAGACAAGAACACAGCATAACCTCTCTGCTTGGGAAGAGCACATTTACACATAATAATTATTTAAACTGATTTAAAAATCTGAAAATTCTGAGGTTTCCTACAGTTACATTTTCTTTCCCACCGCTTACATCAGTGGTCAGCACTGCCCAAGGAGCTTTTGGAGATGAATAAAGTCCGTACAGCTAGGGCTGTGCCCCTGAAGATTCTGATTCAAGTGAGGTCTGGAGAGAGCCTGGCACCTGTGTTGTATCAGTCAGGTATTGCAGGCTGAAGAGCACCGCTTACGCAGAAAGAGCTACCACAGCAAAGCTGAGGCTCAAGGAACGCCTGTGATAGGGAAAGACAACCAAAGCACTCCACAGAGAGCCTTCCTCCCCAAGCTTGCCCAGGCTCAGGCCACACGGGGTACCTGGCTCTCGGGACTGGCTATCATCACAAATGTGCAGGTCCAGGCGGGAGATGAGCAGGTGGTAGGAGGACTCTTTCACATCAAAGTTCTCAAAGTACTGGCTGAGCCGGCTGCTGCTGTTGCTGCTGCTGCCCTGGCTGCCACCAAATGCCTGGGCCCAGGAATGCTGGGCACTGGGAGCAGGTGGGGTGATCTACATGCGACAGAGAGAAAAACAAGAAGTCCAAACCCTGAGAGACTCCTCTGCAGGCTTTTTTAAGCTTTAGTCCAGCCTGAGGAAAAGCACCATCAGCAAGATGCCCTTCCCTCTCGTAACTGTTCACCTGGTAACTCAGGTCTGTCTCACCGAAATTACCCAAATTCCCAAAAGCCTAATTATAATTAGTCTAGTAACTGTCAGAGTACTGTTCTGAGGTCTGAATTGCTCTCCAAGCTTTCACTCCCCAGGACTGAGCTGACTGATGCTAAAACACCTCCTCAGAAATCTTCCCTAAACACCCTTTCAGCCCCGATAGATGCCTGTCTTTGTGCTCTCAGCACAGTGTTTCTCTCTGTTACACACTCAGCATGTCACAGTCCAATAACTTGCTGGTGTCCATATTTCAAAACAGTGAGAGCTCCAAGGACAGGGACAAGAGGCTTATTCTACTTTTCCTCTCCATTGGTGAGCACTGGGCACCTAACACACCAGAGGTGTGGACAGAATAAATTAATAAACCAGAGGCCAAGGCGAAGCCTATGCACACCCAGAAGTGACAAATCTCCCAAATAAGCCCAATGCAGTCTAGACTCCACCTATGTTGGTATGAACAGGTAGGGCCTACCATTTCCCCAGCCCCACCAAGGGTATCTGTTTTGCCTCTAACCTGTACAGGTTCAGGGGCCAGGCTCTTTCTCTGCTGGGCTGACTTCTCCATGGCCTCACTCAGTGACTCTGCATACTTCATCATAGCCTTGAGCTGCGAGTCAGTCAGCACCCAGAGCAGGTCATCCAACAGGAACATCAGCTTGGAGGCTACCACATTGCAATCTTTGGTCTGAAGTGGCCACACAGAACACAGATTCAACATCTTGCATCATTCCAAATCCTAAAAGTGACTATCGCCCAATCAATTTCAGAAATGGCTTTTCAATTCCCAAGATTCACGTGAAAGTATCAAGCACTTTGTGGAATCAATTTCTTGAAAGTACTAAAGCAGCAACAGACAACTGCAAGGTACCTATGTCAGTGTCCCTATAAATGTGTAAAAATTGTGGTTTTCAAAATTAAGATGACAGGGAGATGGAAATGTTCTCTTATTAGCGGATACTATGGCAACACTGAATTGTAGGCCCTGCCCTTTCAACTTTCTTTTCAGAGGCCAATAACATCAAGAAAAGAGGGTAGCCTGGCCGGTGTAGCTCAGTGGTTGAGCTTCGACCTATGAATCAGGAAGTCGCGGTTCAATTCCCAGTCAGGGCACATGCCCAGGTTGCAGGCTCGATCCCCAGTGTGTGACATGCAGAAGGCAGCCGATCAAGGATTCTCTCTCATCATTGATGTTTTTATCTCTCTCTCCCTCTCCTTTCCTCTCTGAACTCAATAAAAATATATTTTTTAAAAAGAAGGAAAAAAAGAAAGAAAAGAGGGTGTACCAACTCCCAGGTTGTCTAGGAGAATGGAAGATGGCAGTTTTCGTGAGGACAGAGAACAGACTCACTCTTCTCTTGAGGGCTATTTGGATCCTGCCTTGGTTGGTAATAAGCCTCAGTGGGGTGGTGACCAGGTCCTGATCACCATTGTCTGTAGCATCTGCCTCAATCCGAAGGGTTTGCCAAGTTATTTCCTTAAATGTTAAAACCTGGAAGGAGAGAGAGAGTAAAATCCCTTAATTCTGTGGATGAAATTAACCAAAAGGCAGGAAGTGCAAGGGAAAAAGACTGGCAAGGCAGAGACTCCCACCATTCTCAGTTGGGGTGCTACCAATAGAAGGCAGTGGGTCAGAGATCCATAATTGAGGAAAGGATATAGCAATAACACTGGACAGAGGGATCCTACGTTCCCAGGAATAGGGGATCATTTGAGGAAATTCCCAAAGCAGGAACACTATCCTTTAAGAATCAGTCCTACTTTAAATCCCCCCATTCTCTCCTCTTGCAATGCTAGGGCTGTCACCTCTCCTCGGCGGGGGTCGGTGATGCGGGTGAGACGCAGGTCACTCTGCTGCCAATTGGGGTTCACACTATAGCCCTGGAGCTGCCACAATTCAAAAGAAGCGTGGAAGGCCTTGGCGTGAATCTTGATGGTGATGGAATTGACGACGATGAACATCCCCTCCACCACCTTCTCAGCAAAGCCATACTCACTGCAACAAATGAGGCAGACCAATGTTCAGAACCCTGTGAAACCATACACACACTGTATGACATCAGGCAGGACTGTTAACAATGCCCACCTTTGGGTGATAGAACTATGGATAATTTTTTTTCTCTATTTCTTTCTTCCCATTTCTACTTTCTTGTATTTTTTAAATTTCTAATAAAATTTATGATGATACAGTATTCTTTTTGATGGGATTTTTTTAAATGAAATAAAAGAAAAAGAGTTTACTTGGAAACAATCTCCTTCCTCTTACAAAGAATAAATTGAAAAATCTTTTTACAGTTCAGAAATTACCTGAAATAAGGATTTGAGTATTTTCTGGGAGAGGAGGCACAGCTACATAAAAGTAACACTAGGTTTCTATAAAACCTTCAAAGACATAGCATACTCTACAAAGGTAGTGGAAAAAGGAAAGAAATACAGCTAGGTGAGCGAGAGGTATAATACTTGGGAATCTAATCAAGAACGGTCCCACCTTGTCCTGGTCGGTGTTCTCAGTGGTTAGAGCATTGGCTCGCACACCAAAGGGTTTTGGGTTCAATTCCTGGTCAAGAGCATGTACCTGGGTTGCAGGTTTGCTCCTTGTCCCTTATCGGGGCACATGCAGGAGGCAACCAGTCGATGTGGCTCTCTCACCTCTCTCTCTCTCTCTCTCTCTCTCTCTCTCTCTCTCTCCCTCTACCTCTCAAAGAAAAAATATCCTCAGGTGATAATTAAAAAAAGAAGAAGAACAGCCCAACCTTTACCCTATCAAATATATCCCAAAGACCATAGCTGTACTTCCACAGTGAGAGGCCAGAAATGGCAAGTAGAGGAATGAAGGTCATCTTAAAGTACTTCTGGATGTGGAAAACAAAGACATTCTGATATGTAGGTGAAATCAATTCTCATTACAAGAGATAAAAAGAAAGTCTGGAAGTTATAAATTAAAACAAACATATGTAGTTGACCCTTGAACAATGCTGGGGTTAGGGACACTGACTCTCCCATGCAATCGAAAATCCATGTTTAACTTTCAATTCCCCCCAAAACTTAACTACTAAGAGCCTACTGTTGACTGGAAACCTTACCAGTAACATGAACAGTTGATTAACACATTTTGTATGCTATATGTATTATATACAGTATTCTTGCAATAAAGTAAGTTAAAGAAAAGAAAATATCAAGAAAATCATATGAAGAGAAAACACTTTTACAGTACTATACATATTTATTGAAAAAAATCTGGCCCTGGCTGGGTGGTTCAGTTTGTTAGAGTGTTGTCCTGTACACCAAAAAGGGTTGTGGGTTCGATTCCTGGTCAGGGCACATACCTAGGTTGGGTGTTTGATCCTGGTCGGGGCTTATTAAGAGGCCAGATATCTGTCTCTCTCTCTCTCTCTCTCTCTCCCTTCTTCTCACTCTTGAAATTCAATAAATTCAATCCTTGGATGAGGATTTAAAATAATAATAAATGCCCTAACCGGTTTGGCTCAATGGATAGAGCGTCGGCCTTTGGACTCAAGGGTCCCAGGTTCGATTCTGGTCAAGGGCATGTACCTTGGTTGCGGGCACAAAAAATAAAAAATAATAATAATAAATAATATAGAGAAAACTAACACATGGCGTTAAATATCAAGATAAATGTTATCCTTGGGGGTGGGTATGACTAAAAAGACACAGAAGGCTTCTGGGATACTGCAAGTGGTCTGTTTCTTAATGTGTTAACTTTGTAAAGAATCACTGAGCTATACCAGGTACACTTATGATTTGTTCACTTCGATATGTTACACCCTTCAATACAACTTACCAAAAGAACTATACTGAAATATCTGAAATACCATGTGTCATCTATTAGTTTAGGCAAAATTCCTACAGTTTTAATGATAATCTCTATTGGCAAGCCTCTGGAAAAAACAAGATGTCTTACACACTGCTGGTGGAAACATAAAATCATAAAATCATTATAAAGGAAAATTTAGCAATGTCTATCAAAATTATACATGCATTTTCTCTTTGACCCAACAGTACCACTTCTAGGAATCTATCCCAAAATACTAGCAAAAAAGTAGAAATAACCCAAATGTCCATCAAATGATGAATACATAAATAAAATGTGGTATATCCATACAATAGTATATTACTCAGCCATAAAAAGGAATAAAGTACTAATGCATGCTACAGCATAGCTGAACCTCGAAAACATTATATTAAATGAAAGAAGCCAATCACAAAAGACCAGATATCTGGTAGTATATGACTTACATGAAATAACCAGAATAGACAGAAAATAGAATAATGGTTGCCTAACGCTAAGTCGGAAGAAAATTAGGAGTTACTGCTAATCGGTATGGGGTTTCTTTTTGGGTGATAAACATGTCCTAAAATTGATTGTGGTGATGGTTGCACAACCTTACCAAAAAAACTAAGTTTGGTGTATATACTGAAAGCCATTGAACTGTACACTTTAAATGGATGAATTCTATGATATGTGAATTATATCTCAATAAAGCTGTTTTCAAAAATATGCTGGCAAAATACTAACTGACTTATGAAAAAGGTCATTTATTGCTGTACTATTTCTAACAGCAAAGAACCTGGAAATAATTCAAATATCTATCAATAGAGAACTGGCTATATAACTATGATGCCTCTATAAAATGTTACTAAAATATTGTGTAAAATATTACATAAAAGTAATGTATTCTGCAGGTGCAAAAAGAAACAAGGAATATTTCTCTATAAACGTCTATGGAGTGGTCTACAGGATATACTTTAAAAAGAAAAAAAACCCTGTGCAAAGTGTTGATGGTATGCTATATTCTGTATAAGAAAGGAGGTGGGGACAACAAAAATATATATACATATAACATACCTTGTTTTATAGTTTTAACTTTGGAACCATGTAATTTGACTTGGTTAAAAATAATTTTAACTTTGGAGCTATTTAATTTTATATAGTTAAAAAATAAATTTAGCCCTAACCGGTTTGGCTCAGTGGATAGAGCGTAGGCCTCCTGACTGAAAGGTCCCAGGTTTGATTCCGGTCAAGGGCATGTACCTTGGCTGCAGGCACATCCCCAGTAGAAGGTGTGCAGGAGGCAGCTGATCAATGTTTCTAACTCTCTATCCCTCTCCCTTCCTCCCTGTGAAAAATCAATAAAATATATTTTAAAAAAATAAATAAATAAAAAATAAATTTTAAAAAACTAATATAAAACTTCTGGAGGATAACATAGGAGAAAATGTAGATGTGATCTTGGGTATGGTGATCTTGGCCTTTTTAGATACAACACCAAAGATACAATCCATGAAAGAAATAATGAATAAGATGGACTTTATTTAAAAAACTTATGCTCTCCAAAAGACAGTTATCAAGAGAATGAGAAGACAAGTCATAGACTTGCAAAAGACATATCTGATAAAAGACTGTTACCCAAAATATACAAAGAACTCTTAAAACGCAACAATAAGAAAACAACCCAATTAGAAGATAGGCCAAAGGTCTTATTAGATACCTCACCAAAGGTACACCAATGGCAAATGGGCATACGAAAAGATGCTCCACATCTTGTCTTCAGGGAAATATAAATTAAAGCAACAATGAGACTCCACTACACACCTACCAGAATGGCCAAAATCCAGAACACTGATAAGACCAAATGCTAGCAAGGATATGCAGCAGCAGGAACTCTCATTGATTGTTGGTGGGAATGCAAAAATGATACAGCCACTATGGAAGACAGTTTGCCGGTTTATTCCAAAACTAAGCATACTCTTATCAGTACATTCTAGCACAGGAGATGAAAACTTATGTCCACACAAAAAAACTTGCACATGGACAATTATAGCACCTTTATTCATAATTTCCAAAATTTGAAAGCTACCAAGGTGTCCTTCAGTAGGTAAATGGATAAACTGTGGTACACCCAGACAATGAAATATATTTCAGTGTTAAAAATAAATGAGCAAGAGAGAAATAAAAAGACATACAGGAACTGTAAATGCATATAACTAAGTGAAAGAAGCCAATCTAAAAAAATAAAACCATACTATATGATTTCAACTATATGATATTCTGAAAAAGAAAAAACTAGAGCCCAGCCAGTATGGCTCAGTGGTTGAGCATCAACCTATAAACCAGAAGGTCACGGTTCGATTCATGGTCAGAGCACATGCCCAAGTTGCGGGCTTGATCCCCAGTGTGGGGCGTGCAGAAGGCAGCCAATCAATGATTCTCTCTCATCACTGAGGTTTCTATCTCTCCTTCTCTCTTTCTCTCTGAAATCAATAAAAATAGATTTTAAAAGAGAAAAAAAAAGGAAAAACTAGAGACAGTGAAAAGACCAGTGATTGCTAGGGGTTGAGGTTGAGGTAAAGGATAAATAGGTGGAGTACAGAGGATTTTTAGGGCAGTAAAAATACACTGTATGATACTATAATGATTAATAAAAGTCAATATACATTTGTTCAAAAACATAAATGTACCCACAGAAGTGAACTTTAATGTAAACTGTGGGCTTTGGGTAATTATGATGTGTTAATGTAGGTTCAACACTTGGAACAAATGTATCACCCTGGTGGAGGATGTTGGCATTAGGGGGAAGCTATGCACATTGTGGGAGCTGGGGTATGTGGGAAATCTCCTAACCTTCCTCTTAATGTAACTGTGAACCTAAAACTGCTGTTTAAACTGCTTTTTTAAAAAACTGAAACAAGCTGGCTTGGCTCAGTGGAAAGAGCGTTGTTGGCCTGTGAACTGAAAGGTCCCAGGTTTGATTCTGGTTAAAGGCATATGCCAGGATTGCAGGCTCAATCTCCAGGAGGGGGCGTGTAGGAGGTAGCTGATCAATGATTCTCATCATTGATGTTTCTATCTCTCTCACTCTCCCTTCCTCTCTAAAATCAATAAAAATGTTTTTTTAAAAAAACAACACAAAAAAAACACCTGAAACAACCCCTCTGTATGTCAAATTAGTACAAATCCATGTGAAGAATAAGTTCAAGTGACTTTTAAACACCCTCTTTTGACCATACATCCCTAATGGGACATATCATGAGGTTAAAACACATATATACACATAGAAATCTACTGCAATCAGTAATCTTATTGATAATTATAATATTGGTTTTATTTTTTTTAACTATCAAAAAGTAAATAATTTATTACTATATTGTTGTTAGGAATCAAGATTCAGCATATGAGTAAAAAATATAAATATTAAATCTAAAAAAGTTAACTCAAATATAGTCAATAATATTGAAATAACTATGTATGTTGCCAGATGGGTACTAGACTTATCAGGGAGGGTCACTTTGTAAGTTATATAAATGTCTAACCACTATGCTTTATACCTAAAACTAATATAATATTGAATGTCTACTGTAATTGAAAAATAAACAGCCCTAGCCAATTTGGCTCAGTGGATAGAGCATGTGCCTGTGAACTGAAGGGTCCCAGGTTCAATTCTGGTCAAGGGCACATGCCCGGGTTGTGGGCTCAATCCCCAGTAGGGGCCATGCAGGAGGCAGCCAACCAATGATTCTCTCTTATCATTGATGTTTCTATCTCTCTCTCCCTCTCCTTTCCTTGCTGAAATCAATAAAAATATATTTTTTTAAAAGAAAAAGAAACAAAATAAAATAAAAATTAACTCAAAATCCTTTTTTATTAGAATTGAGAAATATCAGGATATTGTCATGATTTATTTTTCTCTTTTTTTTAATTTTTAAAATATTTTATTGATTTTTAGAGAGAGAAGAAGGAAGAGGGACACAGAGAGAGAAACATTGACGATCCGCTGCCCCCTGCACGCCCCCTACCAGAGATCAAGCCTGTAACCCAGGCATGTGCCCTAGACTGAGAATCAAACCCAGCAACCTTTTGGGTTTATTTGTTTGTTTTTTTACATTCTTACTTGTGGTTTCTGTTCATTTGTTTTGTTTTTGCTTTATTTTTTTTCCTAGAAAAAAAGAAAAAACACAACCAGGCGGATTTATATGATAGTGTCAGGATAGCAGGGGGAAGAGAAAAGGTCGGAGGCGTGGCACACAGGACGATGCCCAACTAACTGAGCCACATGGGTCAGGGCTATTTTTCTCTCTCTTAAAAATACCTTTTCCCTAGAACTGAACACTAAAAAGGCTTTAAAGCAATGACAACTCTATGAATACCATTTTGCCCAGACTGTAGTCTCTAAATAACATATCTCAGTAAAGGAATCAGGGTTCCTTGGAGAAATGTCTGATTCTAGGTCTGAGGTGAGGATGTATAGAGAAGCCTGAAACATCTTGCTCTGTCTAAAAGCAGGAAGATTATTGGAATCTTAACCCAAAGGACACAGGCAGTACTTTTGAACGGTTCTCACTGGTCAATGATGGTTACATCTGAATACCAAAAAAGAATGATGACTATAAAAGTATGATATACAACAAATATATTTTAAAAAGTAAATGTAAATGTAAGATATAAAAATGTACAATGTGAAAGCATGTAAAATGTAAAAAGAATGTAAAATAGTAAACCACTCTGGAAAAGTTTGACAATTTCTTTAAAAAATTAAATTCGTACCTATTACACCACCCAACCATTACAGTCCTAGATTTTTACCCAAGAGAAATAAAAGCACACAACCACAGAAAAACTTGTATATGTACATGTACATTCACAGCAGCCTTATTCACAATAGCCAAAAACTGGAAATAAAATGTCCATCAATAAGTGAATAGATAACAAGTCGTGGTACAACCACACAATGAAATATTACTCAGCAATAACAGGAATGAACTATTGATACACTCAACAACATGTGTGAATCTCAAAATAATTATACTGAAGACATACTATATAATTTCATTTATATACAATTATAGAAAAAGCAAACTAATCTACAGTAACAGAAAGGCAATGTTTGCGGATAGAAGGAGGGCTGGGTAAGAGAAGGGAGGGAGTATAAAGAAGAACAATATGTGTGAGTGTGATGGATTCATATAAGTTTTGCATATGCCAAAACTTATCAAATTGTATACTTTATATATGTGCAGTCTATTTTATGTCCATTATAACATAATAAAGCTATAAAAATGATTTAAAATGATAAACCTCTGCCTTCCTCTTCCCATCCTCAAAAAAATCTCTTCAGAGATTATTAGGGTATCAACTCATAATTCTTTTTCCATTGATATATAATTTACATATACCATTGTGTTAGTTTTAGATATACATAATTTTTACATTTGATAAAAGCAAAGAATACAGCATTTATCCTGACATTCTTGTACAAACTGTATTTCAGGATAATCAAATAGTTGGCGAAAGAAAATTCTTTATAGAAAATCACAGCTAATAAATGCAATGGAAAGAAAACAATTATAAAGTCCCTACTTTGCATTTCACAATAAAATAAAGGATCTAGACAACTACCATTCTCCTTAAACCAGGAGGTGAAAGGTAGATAAAGAACTTACCATAATGGACAAATTAGGCCAACACCATTTAAATCCACTAATTAATCTTAACCAAAGGAACATGATATTATGCGCCTCCAGATGTGTTACAATAGGAAACACACAATACTATTTCTGAAATATTCTTACCAAAAAAATTGAATCAAATCAAGCCTTTAAATCTAACTACCAGACTAAACGAGAAACATTTTAAATGACACTTTGAGTATACAATCAGACAAAAATATAAAATGTGGAAAATTTCTTATAAAAAATAATCCAGCCGAAACCGGTTTGGCTCAGTGGATAGAGCATCGGCCTGCGGACTGAAAGGTCCCAGGTTCAATTCCAGTCAAGGGCATGTACCTGGGTTGCGGGCACATCCCCAGTAGGAGATGTGCAGGAGGCAGCTGATCGATGTTTCTCTCTCATCGATGTTTCTAACTCTCTATCTCTCTCCCTTCCTCTCTGTAAAAAATCAATAAAAAATATATTTAAAAAATAAAAAATAAAAAATAAAAAATAATCCAGCATACCCAGTGTGGTTCAGTGGTTGAGCATCCACCTATGAACCAGGAGGACACAGTTCAATTCCTGTTCGGGGCATATACCTGGGTTGCAGGCTCGATCCCCTAAGAATTTAACTTTTTAAAGGGGGGCGTGCTAGAGGCAGCCGATAATAAAAATAATCCAGTTTCTATAAAGAATAATGGTATATTAAAAGTGTGACTCAGTTGGTTGAATGTTATCCCATGCATCAAAAGACTGCCAGTTTAATTCCCGGTCAGGGTACATGCCCAGGTTGCGGGTTCCACCCTCCCACCGCCCCCACCCCCGTGTGGGGGGTGCAGGAGGCAAGCGCTCAATGATTCTCTCTTATCATTGATGTTTCTATCTCTCGCTCCCTCTCCCTTCCACTCTGAAATCAATAAAAATATAGTATTAAGTAAATTAAATAAAAGCACATTATCCATTAAAAAAATGTATGTTGATGGGGGGCCGGGGGGGCCGGGTGATGAGAATTTAAAAGTTTTAAAATTCCTATCACCCAAATATAATATACAGAGCTCTTTGTTCAGTGTATTGTAAAAAATATTTTAGAGACAATTCAGGAAAATTAAATATGAAATACATATAAATAATATTAAGGAATTCTTGTTAATTCTATTAACTGTGATAACAGTACTGTGGGTTCTTTTTTGTTTTTTCTCCCCAGTCTTTGTCTGTTAAAGATACATGATACAGAAGTGTTTACGGGTGGAATTAGATGGTGTCTGGGATTTGCTTTCAAGTACTATAGCATAAACACACACACACCACAAAAAATGGCAAAAGAAAGGTGAAAAAAATGGCCAAATGTTAATAATTGTTGTGGTGAGATCTTGGGTACATAGGGTTTCATTACACTATTCTCTCTACTTTAGTGTATGTTTGAATTTTCCATAATTTAAAATTTTTATTCTTTAATTAAAAGGTGAACTGGACCAGTGATATTTCCAACCAACCTCTGTCCTGAAGCAAGGGCAATGGGAGACTGTCCATTGGGAGGCCGCGGCTCCTCACATGTCTTCATCTCCACCTCCACCTTATCCAGACACTGAAATAAAAGCCACAAAGAGCTAAGCATCTGCACAGAAACCCACATAGCACAGATTGGTCTTACTCATCCCTGTGCTCCAGTGCCTAGCCGAAAGCTACATTCACAGTGACAGACAATATCTGTTGAATGAATGAACAAACAAACTGAAATACAAAGAGAGGTCTCATCTCTTCCCTTTCACTTCCATTAGCAGAAGAACTCCATAACAAGCATGGGATTAGCTCACAGCAGAAAACAAAAACATAGATCCAAGTTACAGAGATATTACCAGCCCTCAGGATTTGTCTTTGGGATAAAGATATGTACCACTCAGTTCATAAAGAGCTGTCATTTGATAATCACCCAATAGTCAGCATTAACTAAACTTCCAATTTTTCCTGTTAGGATTCTAAGGGAAAATAGGGAAATCTATAGGTAGTACCTGCACAGCAAAACCTGTTATGAAAAACTACAAAAACAAAACCAACTCAGGACTCCTGGGTCTTGTGTTTCAGCACTAATTCCTATACTACCCATCAGTCCCAGAATTTGTCCAAACAATAGTAGCTCTGTCTCAGAGAGAAGCTCACAGGCCAGACAAAGCACCCACGGCTCCCAAAGCCTATCAGGACTCCTCCCTATCTTCTCTCAGATCTCTTAAAACTCTACCCCAGCCATCCCCCTGGATTATTTGCAATCAAGACAAACCATTACCAAGCAAATTGGGTGCGTCTTCAACTTTGTCCACTGGATCTGAAAGAGAAAAGCAAAGACTCAGGACTGTGGAAGGCAGGCTTGCTGGCCCAAGAAAGCAACAGCACTCAGACCCCCATTCTCACCCGAATGGAGGCCTTGTTGCAGTAGACCCGAGTGATGGCTAACCAGGTAGGCAGCTCCAGCACATTCTGTAGAACCTCTTCATCCAGCTCCAGATTGGTCAGCTGACCCTCCCCTTTCAGGGTGCTCAAATTGATTTTGTCTGGGGAAAGATTCTTAGTGAACCTGAAAAGAGTAATGATAAGAACCCATTATTTCCACGGAAACATGCTAAACAGCATTACAGCCAATAACACTTCTGAATTTAGAGAAGAGAACGTTAAAGAATAAACATCTAATGACCACACTGTCTCTATGCCATGGAAGATGTTGGGTGTGGCCTATCATTCTACTCATGATTGTGTCATCTTTCTACTCAAGAGCCTACAATTGCGATTCTGGCAATATGGTTGTAACACTAGCAACATAGGCTTTTGTTATTTCTGATATTTCTGAATCCCCACATAAAAAGAGACAGAGCATGGGGGCAGGGGACAGGAAGAGTAACCAAACACACACACACACACACACACACACACACAAACAAACAAAAAAAAAACAACAACAACAAAACCAGCAACTAGATAGCAACACAAAAAGCCCATGGACAGCCCAACTGCAGTGGTTCAGTTGGTTGAGCATCATCCTATGCACTGAAAAGTTGTGGGTTCGATCCCGGCCAGGGTACTTACGAAGGCAACCAATCAATGTTTCTCTCTCTCTCTCTTTCTCTCTCTCCTACCCCCGCCCCCCCAAACATGTCCTTGGGTGAGAATTTTAAAAAAATAACACCAGAAGATAAAGCACCCTATAACACCCGCCCCCATACAAGCAAGAGGGCAAAAACATCAACAGCCACAAGACATGAGTGCTATAAGCAGCTGTGCAGACCTACACAGAGGGAAGCAATAAGACATCTGACAGACCAGAGAACAGAAGAACCCCAAGCCAACCAAATCTTAAATGTAAGACAATGTGACCAACTTGACAATAGCAATTGAAACTGGAGGGGTTCTGTCCACTGTGTGGCCCAAAGTAGCTGAAGTAGTCCAGCCCTATAAACTCATATAACCAACCAAGGCTTCGTCCCAGGACAGGGACTCTGCACTGAGAAGAAACTGCTGAGAGAGGAATCCAAATTGAGTAAGATAGGATAACGAATGAAAAAAAAAAAAAAAAAAACAGTCCAAATTAAAGGGGGGGGGCTATGGGGGGGGGATAAGCACACATTTTTTAACACTACTTGAAACAACAGAAGAGGGAGGGGTGTGGGCTATGGGGGGAGGATAAGCACATATTTTTTAACACTACTTGAAACAACAGAAGAGGGAGCTCTATGAAGTTAAAATATGAAACTGTAAGAGGCTAATTATTACCTTGTTAATTAGGGTAAAATGAATCCCAGCCTCTTACACATACCTTTGATGTTACAAAATATATGACCTCCACCTATAGTCTTGCCAAAGGGATTGAACCTGAATCTCATCATACTACTCACTGGGTCCAGTTGTTAATTTGCAGAAAATACAGGACAGAGGAAAACTGCTGAACTGCACTCTAAGTGTGGAATCAGTAAGATCCAGACCATGGGAAACTATAGGTCAAGTGGCCTGGATATAAACAATTCACACAGGCCAATCTTCCCACTAGTCTACATTCACTGTCTAGTCTTTGCTCATGTGTTCTCACCCACTCCCTTTCCTGGAGGACCCTCATCAACATCTGCCATTCAAGGCCCAACTCAAGACTGCTCACTGAGGCTTTCTTTCCCTAACTGCTGCAACGCACATTAAACAATTAGGGCCGCCCTAGCCGGTGAGCATCGGCCTGCGGACAGAAAGGCCCCAGGTTCGATTCTGGTCAAGGGCACATGCCTGGGTTGCGGGCTCGGTCCAACGTGCAGGAGGCAGCCAATCAATGATTCCCTCTCATCATTGATGTTTCTAACTCTCTCTTCCTCTCCCTTTCTCTCTAAAATCAATAAAAAAAAATAAAACAATTAGGGTCTTAGGATGTTCTCCAATTCTCCCATGTGTAACCACCCCTGAGCAATTAGATGTTAAGCTCTTTGAAGCCAGGGGCTTAGTCTTAGCCATCCCTCCTCATCTAAATGGTTACCTGGCAGAATTCTGGGCCTATGTTCTGTACCTTTCAGCTAACTGCACTGCTGGCTAACTAGTCCCAGCTCCCTTCTCTCACCTCCTTTGGCTGATCAATTTAAGGCCAGTTCCTCATAGCATAACCTTCTCTCCTGTATGGTAAACTATCTAGATGAGTCTCATCCCTGTCATTCTTTCTCACTGTTACTGCCTCTCATAATTACTATTTTCCACACAATAATTAATTGTATTTGACCCTCCACTGTAACTATACTTAGCCCTTACATATATTAGATGCTAATAGTTGACTTTAGATTAATATATATTGTTTACTGCCCAGCTGGCATAGCTCTGGTTGAGCATCGACCTATGAACCAGCAGGTCATGATTGGATTCCTGGGCAGGGCACATGCCTGGGTTGCGGGCTCAATCCCCAGTGTTGGGTGTACAGAAGATAGTCAATCAATGATTCTCTCTCATCACTGATGTTAAAAAAAATTTATCTTTAACACATACCCTTTCCTTTTACTAAGCTGTGTTTCTAGTGTTTTTGGTTTTCCTTAAACCATAAGATCATGACATGTAAGAGTTTTATCTTCAATTTTTTTCTACAATGCCCAAAATGGTATTATGTACAAAGGCTCTTTAACAATATTTCAAATGACAGTAAAAATTTTTTTAGAAATTTATAAACATGCAAAACAATGCTGTATAATAATAAGGGATACATAGGAATGCACTAGCATGAAAAAAAAATTTAGGAAAAGTGTTTATATGTGGGACAAGAGAAGGGGTCCACAGGAAGCTTCAACTATATGAATAATACTTATTTCTCAATGGAGTTGGGAGGTGACTGTATGGCTGTTCATTATATTACTCTTTTTTACCTTTTTATATGGTAACTATCTATAATAATAAAAGCATAATATGCTAATTAACCGGACAGCCGAATGACCTTCTGGACGTCATTCCGGACATCCTTCCGGACCAAGAGGCTTTTGGGCCCCATCCCCATCCCTTCCTCTCTAAAAAAAATCAATAAAAACATATTTTTTAAAAAAGATATTACAATTATTATTTCTTCCTAGCAGCCATTCCTTTACTGTTAAATATTCAGGAAAGCCACATCCGCTCAGAAATTGGGTCAGGCATCCTTCAGAAGTATTTGTCTTAAAGATAAGAATATTTGAAGACATAAAATTAGTTTGTAAAAACTGTATGTTTCCTAATGTCCTCACCACAGATTCTGATAAGACCCCATCTTCCTACCACAGCTGAGACATGGAAGGAATAGCCACTGTCAAAGATGGAAGTAAGGATCCCTTTAATACACAGGAGAGAGGAGAAAAGTCTAAGAATCACTAAACAGGCTGCTTTTCCTGGTGATAAAAAGGCATTTTTAAGAAAAGAAAGTGATAGGGACTTTTTCAAGTATATTCCTCTCTGAAAAAAGAGGAACATACTTCCAATAAAATGAAACATACACATAGCTAAGAATAAGCTACACTGCTTGCTCCACTGACATTCTCAGAGTGATTATACTCAATAGGTGTCACAGATCTAATTTCTACATTGTATTCTATGCAAAACGTAACTATTTACATCTCCATACAAAATAAATGTCATTTTCAAAGCCTTGAATTAAAAAGTATGAGATTGTGTTACATTTCATCTTAACCTTGCCAGTATTTAGGGCAATGTGTGACAAACTATGTGCCTCTGATCCTGTAGATGGCATCACTTTGGTATGTTTATTTTAACATGCAGATCATTGGGCCACACCCGGATATGCAGAATCACAATGGGAAGTTGGGTAAGGAATCAGAATTTTTAATCAACTCAAGGCGATGTCTTCTGTTCTCCAAAGTTTGAGAGTGCCTTAATTTGAGGTTTCAGTTAACCAACTAAAATACTTCAAGGAAGAGAAAGCCAGAGGCTGCAGAGGGAAAAGAGATGCATAAATCCATTCTTCAAGAACAAAGTTTTCAGCTTCTATCCTTATTATGGCTTGGTGGTTAGGAGCACAGGCTTTAGAGTTAGACTTGGGCTCAAAATCTGGCTCTGTCACTTACTAATACTGTGACTTTAGGCGAACTGTTCAACCCACCTCACAGGGCTGCTGGAATTAAAAGAGCTACATAGGTAACATACATTAAATAACTGGCATTTATTAAGCGCTCAATAAATAAATCGTAATCATTGTTATTTCTGGATTTCACTACCTTCTCCCTTTAAAAAAGGCTTAAATTATTATCTTTTTAAAAAGGTTTAGGAGATCATTTCAAAATGTATACAAATATTGAATCATTATGTTGTACAACTGAAACTAACATAATTTTTTAAAAGGTTTAGGAGGCTTAGATTATTATCTGAGGACTCAGGTTTTCTTCAAGAGTCAACACACTCAGATCTACCTTCCAATCTCAATGTAGTATCTACTATTCCCAGTATGCTTGTTTCTACCCTTTCAACCTAGGTTTCTAGAAATTGAAATCTGAACAAGATTAAAACCGAATTCATGTTCCCCAGAAATCCTACCCATTATATCCCACTCTGACTCCAAGAATAGATCTCCATCTCTTGTCTCTCTAGTACTAATAATGGGTCACAAGAGAACAGAAGACAGGGAATAAAAGTATAAATGAAGTAGACAAAATCAATCTTATAAGGGCAGGGCCAACCAATTGAAAACAACAGGCCTAGAGGTGGTAACCAGCAGTTCTATGAACTCTGTAGCCATGTCAATTGGCAAATGACAACACTGACTTCTTCAGGGCAATTCTGACAGTAACCAGGTGGACTTACGTCTCTGATTGTCTTGAAGATGATGGCATGTGTGTGAACACCAGCCAGCCAGGACTGAAGAGTCAGCTCAGGGAGGACTGTTCAGCAGCCGGCTGGCACACTGCCCGCATCAACAGCACTAACACAGAGGAACAGGAAAGGCACAAAACCTGTCTTCCCGCCCCAAAGAGGATTAGGCATTCCGGACATCCTTCCGGACCAAGAGGCTTTTGGGCCCCATCCCCATCCCTTCCTCTCTAAAAAAAATCAATAAAAACATATTTTTTAAAAAAGATATTACAA